TTCTATAAGCAATTCAGAAATAGAATGCTTTGAAGTTAGAATGGAGCTTCCTAAATCCTAATTGCTGTGACCACAGTCACAAAGTCTTGAAGTGTAAACCTCTTTGAGTATTTTTATTACTTTGCAAGTCAAAAATGTAACTGACCAATAACATTTACATTATAACTACATCTATTACTTAAATTATTGTGCCACATTTCCTATTCCGCTATCTGCTGAAACACTGAAACACCTAATTCTTGCTCYGTAAACATTTAAGATTGCTAGGACSTGCAGTTAACGTAGTCTCAAACTTCAAATCCACTAAATTAATCACAACATCGCAGCTCCAAAGTTCCTGTCTTATCCCCCCCTTTATTCTGTAGAGAAATAAGGCAATTCTATAATCAGACCAACTTATCACAATGTGCAGTATATTGGTATGACTTAAGTGGGAAATGAAAATCGAATTGTTTCTTGAAGAACACAATGTATGTAAAAGACAAACGAGTTCAGCGAGACTCTAACACATATACAAAATTTTAATCCATTTTGGGAACTTTCTTAAGTTCTTCAAACATACAAAGTAGTAAGATATTAATGAACAAATACTTGGAAAAGGTGCAGTTTCAGCCAGAGTTGGTATTTCTTCACTAACAAAATTACTGCAGAAGGAATAAGGTAACATAATATCCATTACAGTGACTTGAATAAGCTKGTCTGATTTTGTATCACAGTCATAACTTCGGAAGAAATGAAAGAATTTAGGAGTGGTACCATTAAAGGTGGTGGAGGAGACAGTGTATGAGAGTGCAGCAGAGTTAAGACAAATTCAAAGCAGGACTGACAGAAGTGAGACTCGTCCCCATTTCAACCCACCCTAAGGGCTGGTATTTATGCAATGGAATAAGCTGATTTTGAAAGCTTGATCTGACCACAGAGTACATACCTGGAGTAACACTTTCTCTAACAGAYTTTTCTTCTGATGTAATGTTTTGCCCATTTGTTTCAAGACTAGAAGGCAGAGTGCTTCTTTGTCCATTCAGACCAGAGTTCTCCACTTCTAGAAATGCAGACATGTGTGGACTTTCTGTTGAAAATCCTGAAGTCTAGTGGCATTAAAAAAATCTGATTTAGGATTAATTTCCCCAGAAATATGAAGGATATAAAAATAAAGGTAATAATTGATTTTGGGGTCATATTTCTGCAAAAACAGCAATCTATATAAAAATACTCCTGTGTTTCTTCTAAATAGAACATTGAGATTAGCCATTTAAATCTTAYAAAAATCTTAAGCTAAAGTATTTCCTCTACCATAGTTTTCTGCAGTACCTTGCTAAATTCTTTGTTGTGCTGTGAAATTCTGTACTGAGAACAGGATGATGATGTATCGGAGTCAATATTTGGTTCCAAAGGCTGAAAGAGCTGGTGATGGAAGTTTGGAAAATACCTCTCCATTTCAGGGAAACAGAGTTCAGGTGTTAGAGCTGTAAGGAAAAAGGTTATTTTAAAAACATAAACCCTTCATAAAAACAATAAAAAAACCCCAACAAAACAACCACCCTAAAAACCCTCAAACAACAGACATATCAGAAACTGCTTCTATGTGCAGTAAATAAAGCATACAGAATTCTGCAGGGTATACAAATACCAGCTTTTAAAAACAAAACCTTTACAGCATCCAATTCTTYGACACAACGCAGGTATAAAAAGAGTAAGAAGGTCCTACACTGATTCAATTTTATTTTTTTTTAAATAAAAAGATGAAGTTCATAAGTTCTCTGTTCAGCATTTATGAGACTGCATCAGAAGTAGTGTGGGCTTCTCAGTACAAAACTCACAGCACAAGACCAATGAAGTGCCACAAGGATGATTAGAGGATGGATGTAGCACATGATGTTCAAAGAGAAGCTAAATAACTGGGTTTATTCAATCTTAAAAGAACTGGGGATGTGAGGGAAGTGGTACAAAAATGTCTGCTGCCCACCACCTCCTAAGAGTCAGTAGAGAGAATTCTAGAATGCTCTGGGCTGGAAGGGACCTTAAAGATCATCCAGCTCCAAGCAATGAGACACCTTCCACTCAACCAGTTACTCAAAGTCCCATCCAACCTGGCCTTGAACACTTCCACAAAAGGGCATCCAAACTTCTCTGGGCAACCTGTACCAAGTATTTAATCTAAATCTATCCTCTGTCACTTTACAGAAAATAGCCTCCTTGAACAAGCAAGGGAAAAAAAAAAAGAAGACAAGAAGAAAGTTATTAAAATGTTGCTTGGGGGTATAGAATCTTTGTCCTTGAAGATAYTCAGAACTTGCCTGGACAAGGTCTTAACCAACCTGGTCTAAATTGGCTCTGCAGTGAGCAGGAACCAGAAGTACTTCCTGGTCTAGATTACTCTATAATTACATGATTTGAGGTTTTGAAACATTCCACGAGGAAGGATTTGAATTAAAACATTAGCATTATCTTCATGACAGCTAATAATGATGTTCTCAATTTTCATAAATGTTACGTTTTTCTAGAGAGCACAGAACTCTCACCAACCAGTTAATCAGTGTTTTATCAACTACGGAACCTCCTGTGAACAATGAAGTATTATGTAGTATTTGTCTACYTTCCTGAAATGAGAGCTATGAATAAACAAGCGACAAAAATGGCACAGGTAGCCAATAGCTCAGCCATGGTGGCAGGAAGCAACATAGAACTGAGACAAGTGGTCAGTGGGGGCTTTTTCTTCCTGCATTAGATAATATTTTGTGAACATGTACCTAACACAAAGCAGGAAGAACATCAAAGTACTGAATTCTTGCATGTAGAATTCTTATTGACTTTAACATGTAAGCTGAATATAAATAATACAGACGTATGCCTAACACTGAGTCAGCTCCTCATTCTGTATGATCAGAAAGCAGCACAAAAATGCTATAAAATAATCAATACCTTGGAAATGTGCACTGTCCTCTGAGTAAGAGTACAAGTTCCCAGCAGATTTCCCCAGGATCTGCTGTGTCTGGTTTTCTTTATAAAGGTAGATCTCTCCTTCAGACAACTGACTTTCAGACGCCCCAGACAAATTCTCTTGCCTCTGCTGCAAGGTAAAAGGAAGGGAGGAGCTCCAAGGGTGGCTTGCTGTTTCTCTCAGAATTCCATCTTCTCTACTGTTACAAGGCAATCCTGAAATAGCAATTTACACATTCACAGTTTTGCATACAAATCACTTACATGACATCATTTGAAAAGACAGYGCTTAATATCCTGAAATATTCATAAAGAGTTCTGGGGTTTTGTTTCTTTAATTGTCTCCTGTCAACACTCCTATAAACCTTACCACACATTCACAATCTCAAGTTGCTAATATCTAATTAGGGAGCAGTCAGTACTTAGAACTTTTACAGAATGTAGACKTAAGAAACACTGAAATTATAAAATCAGAAAATAATTAATACTGCTATTTTATGCTGGCTAGCACATCTTTACCYCCTACTGCATATGAATGTGTCAATCCTTTCATGTGATCTTGAATACCTTTATGAGCCCGCACTGTGGTTTCATTCGTGCTCAAACAGAAATTGCTTAACACCAACACTAGAAATCCACGGGATCAAGAGAGCCAAAATCATGCTCCTAGACAGCACASCAACCCTTCTTTATCTTTGGGCTTACAGAAGAACTGGACAAAGCTACCAGAAAAGGTCATTACTAAACACTGAATATATGAAGACACAGTTAGACTTGAAAAATTCATTCAGTCAAATAACTAAACTTCTGACATTTTTCTTCCACAATAAAAACAATAGAGAAATAAAACTACAAGCAAATTAACTTAGAATGTACTTTAGCTTTCTTACACCAATAAAACACAGATTTGTTAAGTGAGTCATGAAGTTTACTACAAAAAAATAAGTAATCAGTTTGAAACATTAGGGTTAAAATGACCCAATGAAATCTCAGGCTGCAAAAACTGAAATCTTAAAAAATTGATTTATAAACATGGAATAACTCATACAAGCATGTTGCTTAAGAAATCAGATGTGTGTTAGAATAACACAATATGAGGCCTCAAAGTAAATAAATCCAAGGGYCACTAYCTAATCAATTTCAAACGCACTTCAATGTTCACAAGTAGTAATGTCAGGAGCACTTATATATTTATTATAAAGGAATTCTTTTTCTTTTTATGAAAAACTAACAACATCAAGAGGCAAACCACTAACAAAAAATAGTAGGAACATATACCCAAAAAACTGTTAAGTTAATGTAGTACTCAACTGACATTTTCACAAATAAGTCATTAAGAATTACTGTGATGACAAGCAGATACTGGAACAATTCTCTTAATAGCAAGACAATCATAGCTCTGCAACAATCCATTATGTATATTGAGTAAGAAACTTTTATCAGTCTGTCACTTGAAGTTAGTATTTAAAATAAAAATTGCTTGGAAACTGCTAGTGTTACAGATGCTTAATAAAACTCAAAATATCCTTTGCCAAAGCAGATGTATCATAAATTATTATAAAAGTAAAAAATCATAAGCACCTAAGAAAACATTCTGGTTATACTCAACTCTGTAAGATGTATCAATCAACCTGCAGTGAAGTTAGACATAAACGTGTTTCAGAAGAACTTAGGTTCAGGGAATTAGACTCATTCTGCCATAAAATTAAACCACAATTTTTCCTTTTACAGGAGCAACAAAACCTGAACACTCACCAGTGTCAACAGGGCTTGCATTCAACATTTCACTGGTTGAGAAGCTCCCAGTGGAAATTGTTGAACTCACATCACAGGGTATTRCTTGCATGAAAGCCTCTGAACCAAGTACTTCCTAGGATGAAATAACACACTTATCACCATGYATTCAGAAGTAAAGCTGTAAATCCACACATTTTATTCTGAGCTCAGTTCAAGTGTAGGAGCCTTCATGTTTCACACAGTCAGGCAAATACAGAATCATCCTTGCTCAGTACAACACATTCACACCCCACATCCCAAGCACATCACTCCCCATGAGCCCCCTCCCCTCCTCTGCCCTCACAAACASACACAGACACACACAAACACACTCCTATAAAGCCTCTCAGAGCTGCATACAAATCATGACACCTGGAAGATTGTTTTATCTTCTGGTGATCAGATTTGGCTATTTCTCATCACAGACCCACTTCAGTAGAATTGTGGATCTCAGAGGAACATATGTACAAACCACTAAAAATTCATCAATTTTACAAGTACTTGCAATACTGAGCTTTTTGCATACAGGAGACTTAAAATTTAATTCTATGAAATTAAACTAAAATATACAAAATCCCCTAAAGCATTATCTTCTTTAATTTTAAGGTAACGTCTACAAAGTCATGAAACAGATGAAGGTTCTTGTACTTCAAAATTTTGAAGAATTAGGTATGAACAATTCTTCTCAAACTCTGACTTAAAATGTGCTCTAAGAAAATAAAAAAAAAATCTAGCAAGCCCTTCTGCTTCATTTTTCATTATGTACTACTTTATACAAATATATTTAACATACACATAGAAAACATTTACATCCTAAGATACTTTTACATATCCACGTAATACTGCTGTTCTAAATACTGCTTCTATCTCCTAACAAAATTATGGGATCTTTGGATGAGAGAAAAGAGGGAGATTGGTGCTGATTTCAGCAAGGCTGTTAACGCTGTCACAATATTGTATGATCCCAGTTTGGATGCTGCAGCCCGAATGGATGGACAACAAGGGTATAAAACTGGCTGGATAAGCAGGCTCAGAGGTCAGTGACGGAAGGGTTACACACTGTGTGGAGGTGGGGAACAAGTAGAGCACACAAGGCTCTGTCCCCTTTAATGGCAATGACCCAGAGGAGGGGACACCATGCTTTTAATTGAATTTGCAGATACAATAAGGCAGAAGGAGCATCCCATGTACTGAACAGCAGGGCTGGTATCCTGAAGGACCTTGTGAGGCTGCCCCTATAGGAATGGTACAAAACTCAGCAAGGGCAAAGGCAAAGTCCAGCACATGCGAAGGAAGAAGCCAGAGCACCAGTCCYAGCTGAGGCCTGCCTGGGGAGCAGCCCTGTGAAAAGGGAGTCTCAGCAAGCTGAGTGTAAGCCCATGGTGAGCTCTGAGAGAGAAGCAACAGCATCCCATGCTGTATGAACAGGAACAGAACCAGCAGATCCATCACAGGGGTTACCCCTCTCTACTTGGTGCTCGTTTTACTGCTGCATCTGGAATAGTGYACCCACTGTTATCCACCCAGTAAGAGAAGAAAGATTACATCACAAAATAAAGAGAGAGTWATATGATTATTTTGGTATGACCAACCGTATTATCAAGCCCAAATGATGGTCCAGAACGTGTTCTAAGTCCCTCTCCACCTTCAGCAGCAAGAACTGATGAATCTTGAGACACTGGGGAATCCTGGGACAGGACTGAACACAAAAGTAACAGAAACAATAAGGAACAAAAAGCAATTTTCAAGTTCACAGTGAGCAATGAACAGCAGAGGGCAGTAACACTCCATTGCTGCCAGCCTCACTCTTTGGGCACTGATTTTGCCCATCCTTAACCACCTTCCTCTCACCTACACAACACTTTTTGCYCCACCATACCACCAATTTCATCAGCAATCTGTGGTTCTTCTTTATCAGCCTTCCTAAAATTTCTAACTACCCCGACTGCTCTCCATACAGCAGGCATGAAGAGCTCCAAATTCATGTTCCAGCTTTGCAGAATGAAACACGTCCTTGCTAGTGTTACTGCAATCATTTAATTGGAGTGGGGGAAATCTTTTAAAATCCACCATTATAGTGGTTACAAAGAAAAGCAGACATTCCAAGTAGATCAGAGACATCAGAAACATTGTTTAACTACAGCATGACTACTAGCATGGAACTGACTCACTTTTGCTTTAACACATAAAAATAAGTAAGATCAGTACCTGTGCAAAAAAAACCCACCAGAGCAGCACCCAAAAAATSCAATTTTCTGCATTCAGTGCTGATAAGCACCTTCAAAGGTTTGACAATTCTGTGACTGTAAATTAATTGTCACAAACAAATACATATTCTAMTTTCCAGTAATAGTTTTCAAGAAAGAAGTGCTAAGTATGAAACTGAAMTGAAACACAAGTGAAGTAGGTATGTTTTTCAACATTCTAAAAGGGCTGCTACTGACAGAGATATTTCAAATCCCCAGCTTTTGTAAGACTCTCTACTTGGGCAGATCTAACTTTTTGTGAATCCTAGCACTAGTTCATACTCTGTATATGCTGGAACTCAATTTCTTACCAGATGGCAAACTCTAGTTGTTCCATTTTCCATACTATAAAAAAAGGAGGGTGTTCCCTCTTCAAAGCAACATCAGTGCACACTGATGTGACAATAATAAAGATTCYCAATAAATATGAATCATTTTGAAACTCATCTCAGGGAGGGGAAAAAAGTCCAAGGTTTCTTATAGCAACTATTACCAAGTAGACTTCTAGGAGAAAGTAAAAAACACAAAAGGAAATACATCTAAAACRCATTTATTTAATAAGTACTTTGCTCAGGTCTGTCCCTCCTCCTTGGAGCAGGATACAGGAAACAGAGGACCCTGGAAACAAGCAAGGCCTTCAAGAAAATTCCTGGAAGCAGCATGAAAACTGCAATCATCTAAATCAGCTGCTATTTAAATAGCTCCATAGGAGAAAAAATGCACAATACAAACTTAAAGTAATAACAAGAAGCAATGTCTAGAATTGGCTGTCAGACATTCAGAAACTGGAAATAGATTATTTATTTTATAATTTGATTAAAAAGTAAATGGTAGAAGAAACTACCACATAATTTGCCATTCCTGATACCTTTCCATCAACACTAGATATTTTTCTGACAGAAGCTATTTTATTTCCTATAGAATACCACCGTGACAGGCACTAATTCAGGATACATGAGATGAAATTCAAGCATTTAATAATCTCTTGTAYATAAATTCTGTGGAGAGCTATGTTACAAATGTTTCATTACTGTACTGTAATAACCTGCACTGTTCTCGTGATATTAATACTAGGGATGAACAGTATAAATTTCATGCTATAAACCAAATTATTTAATTAAAAATACATGTTCATATCCCATGACTTTATTACATTAATATCCTGACAAAGCCTGTATTTGGTGACTCATGAAGGAGGATTTTTGAGTCTTCTCTCCTTCCTCTAAAGTAATGATGCAAAGTTCTTGYTCCTCACAGCAGCTAGAAATTGACATGCTTTAACTTCCTGGCTACCACAATGTCACAAAGAATTTATATTTAAAAACTGACTACRCAACATCTCAAATGCTGCCTTTTTTCTCCCCCCCTCAATAAAAATGGCAGGAAAATAGCAACMATTATTCTAGCATGCAATTTGAAAGACAAATGACTAAAAATCCAACCAGTCAGTGAAAACAACATTAGAACAGGGGTTAGTCCAAATTCAACCATRTAGACAAACAAACAAAAAGCTAAACTGGTAATGAAAATGACAGTCTGCTGGTATGCTGAATTACGGACAACTATTTGGGATTGCTAAAAATAAATTGAAAAGTTAGCTTGGATCACAAAAAAAATCATGCTTGGAATAACATCTCTCTACAGAGTAGCAACACATGAAGATAATCCCATCTGGAACACTGCTCAAGGGAACTACTGCAGATGAACAAAGAGAGACAAGACTGTTGATATATACTGAAGGAGAACTGTAAAAGAGGTCTAAGTGTCAAATCTAGTCACTAGTTCCTGGCTGACTTCCTAAGGAAATTAGGTTTATGCCATCAAACTGCCYGTCTCATTTGCAGGGTTACTCTGCAATTCCCTACTAACAGTGAAATCTAGTAGCTCATTCTAACCAAACTGGATTGGAAAGAACATCAAGTGTCCAAAGTTCCCAACTCATCCTGTCATGCATCAGCAGCCTGTAAAAGAGCAATTCAGATTTTAGACTCACTGCTGGCACCTAATCAACAACACTTTAGCTGCTGCCCTGTCCTCTGGTGTARCCACTTGATCAGTCTGCGTAGCGCTCACAACCACTCAATACTGAGCATAGGAATTCATCCTCCCCAAACCACAAGTTGGCTGCAGGACTGATTTTACATTCAGACACGTCTGCCTCTAAATTTCAGAGGRTTAAAGTCATCTTTCTTCCTGTAATAATTGGGAAAAAGAAATCCAGCTAATTACAAACTTTAAAAAAAATTGCCTGTTATCCAAGGCAACTCTCCTGTCAAAGGAAACTCACCTTTGCTGATAAAGCATCTGCATGTAAGAACCAGACATACCAACTTTATCTTTTATATCAGATGTATATAAAACATGTGACCACTGGTTAAGCATTTGTGTACATCTAGTGGTTCTGTAAACATGAAAACAGTACAGCTTTAAGTTGTAAAGCCTTACATTATTTGGTCAAAGGTTGAAACCACCAAGCATCTAATTTCAAAGAACAAGGTCAAAGATCACACAGAGCACTCATTTGTTTTTATCTTTAGAGATACAATTACCTCTTGAAAACATGGGGAAAATGCAAACATGTTCTGGTTAGAATCAAGTAGCAAAACAAGTTTTAAAACCAAATTAAATAARAAATAATCAAAGCTACTATCACAARCAACAACCTAAAATGAACCTTAAATTTTCCCTTCAGAAAGTTTATATTTAAAGTGCAAGAGATTGTAGATCTTATTGCTGAAATACCATACTAGTTACTGAAAGTACTAGAGAGAGACTCAGCCTACACGTTTATCAAGATTACTGCTGGCACTTTTGGCTGTTCATCTGCTCAAGAGGGCATCCTCTTAAACACAATCACAGAAATCTTAAGGGTTTTTTCTTTTAATATAGATGTTCACATAAAGTTTCCTAATCCTCTTACATAAACTATTGCATTGTTCATATACAATACTCCATAATGTAAAAAGACACTACACCAAGGCATTTTATATATTAATTTGGTAACAGCTGTTCTAGCAATGCTTCTAAAACTCACTCAAAAATACAAGTCAATTCTTCAAATATTATTAAAAGGCAAAATGTTTCCATGATGATTTCAGTTTAAATATAGGTATACTTCAAAAGAAGCATTCTGAAAAATAAAAGAAACAGCTGAAGGAAAATGACGGTAGATGTACTTATTCAAAACAACTCCAAGTAAATCTCATTGAACTGGAAATGATGTCTCAATGAAAACTAAATGAAAAACTGAAGATTAGGGCCAGTGGTGAAATTTCTAGCAAAACCAGCAGGTATGTAATACACAGCTGTATTACTTGTAACAATGGGCATATGAAGGCTGCCAAGTTTCTGAGAACTCCTCTGCAGCTCCAATAATATTCTAGATGGATACTGAAAACTGTACTGGACCACTCAACACTGTCATCTTGTAAAAAGCTTCAAATTGCTTTAGTCAATGTTTTACAAACTTCTTTGTCCATGTTTAGTAGGTTTCAATGTTCCTGTAACAAAATCATTTTGAACATTCCCAAAGCACTTTATAACAAAAATTGTCATGATAACCAAAACAACTTGTTTTATTTTATATAATCAGGTTAACTTTGCCACCTACAAACATGGCCTATCCTCAAAGCTGTTCTTTTCCAATAAAAGCTCTTCACAGATAGACAAGGACAGAGCTAAAGCAGTCCTTACAGTACAGCATGGTTTTTCCTTTTGACATATTCAGTGAAGCATGTAAGAAGCATATGATGGCTTCTAGAAAAGGTCAAAGCAGAATGGACCTGTCTTGAATACTGGCTATGCACGGACTTTTCCTAGTTAGGACACCTGTCCCAGCTACTTGAAAATTCCAGGTGTCTGGCTCTCTCACTGTRTTGGTCTCACAAGCTGAAAGTCAAGGTTGATGCACTGTGAGGTGATAGTCACAACTTGCTAATTAAACAGAAATTGCAGATACAAAAKAATTACCTGTCACTAAACAAGGCAACAGGRCACGAGGAAATGGAATKAAGCTGCATYAGGGCAAGCTCAGATTGGACATWAGGGAAAGGTTTTTTTCTAAGAGGGTAGTCAGTCATTGGGACACATTCCCCAGGGAATTYCCCAGGGAAGTGATCACAGCACTCAAGAGTTCAAGGAGCAACTGGACAATACTCTTAGTCAATGGTTTATTTTTAGGTAATCTTGGGAGAAGCAGGGAGTTGAACTTGATCCTTATAGGTCTCTCAATTTGAGATATTCTACAATTCTCAGTTGACATGTCTGTCACACCTAAGACATGATTCTTTCAAAGGTTTTTTGAGCTGATGATGACCTCAACCTTCTATTTTCTGTCTCAACCATATTTTTAAGTAATTTCTTAYATACACTGATCTTCCAGAGGGCAATCTACATAAAAACTCCATAGTTCTTTTTAAGCACTGATTTCCTTTGTATCAATACAAAAATCAAGAATGCCAYTGGTCTGCCCAAAACAGGCTCCCACCTGAAGATCTTCTTGACAATTAAGAAGACTTTCTTAAAAAGCAAATCTTTACAATTCCACAGATGAAAAGCACATGCCTTGGACAAGAAACTGTTGACTAGCAATGAAGTGTACTGSAGTGTGGACTTGTTACTAGAATATTAATGGATCACAAAACCCCAGATTACAAAAACTCATTCATTCTGAAACAAGTGCTTATTGAAACACCCATTTTTACACTTAAAATTCAATAGCATTAAAGAGCACTGCCATGTTCTTTAACAAGTCAGGTCCCATTCTACAAACAGATAGCAGTAAAATCAGCAATGCTGAATGGTATTCMCATAACACCTTGAAGGAACAGGATTTCCTCACCTGAATCATATGAAGTTTCAGAAGCCAGCATCAGCAGTTCTTTTAATAAYTTCCCTGATGGATTTGTTTGCCTTAGACTTTCACTGAAGGCTTTTCCTTCATCGTTTGTTATGCCCAAAGGAAAGGTGCCTTCATGAGAAGCATGACTGTGATGTTTCACACATGTAAACTCCACAGAGGATGAAATCGGGTAAGTTTCTCCAGTACCATCACCTGTTTTGTCTGAATTTAAAACATTTGTAATCAGTTTAGGGATAGAAAGGATGTGTTTTGCACTTCATGAGGAACATTARGATGCACATTCTATTCTACAGAAAAAACCTGCTGAATTTGTGTGGTCTTTCTTCTAATGAATTTAGCCATATCACATCAGTGAACACTTTTGTGTCACAGTCTGTGGATTATACAGGCTGAAAGATTATAACAATTATAGACTTCCTAATTCCTAACCCCACTGGAGTATTTCTTAAAAAAAAAAAACAAAAACAAACAGATTTTTCCACATAGCTAATCTAACAAAACTTTCAGTAACTTCTCCAGATCCAGAGGCAATATAATTTCTCTGCTTCCRTTAAAAGATTTCTTTCTCTAAAACCTGGCCCATGAAACGGCCCTTTCTGACCACCCAATCCAATAAAAATCTCAAATTTTTACTACCTACCRTGACCAATGGTTTGAAAATATAAGAATAAATCACTTGTAGATCATAATGGTATTATACAGCCAAGTWACTAAGCCAAGTGCTTTTGTGAAGGTAAATATATTCTTCAATCAAAACTTTCACCAACAGAACTTGCTATCTAATCAAGATATCAAATTMATCCAACAAGAATTACTCTGCATAAACTGATGCTGATTAGCATAAATTACTTTCCTTTAATTGAAGGATGTCTCATATCAGCTGTTTCATTATTTTGCTCACGAAGAATGCCAGCCTGACAGGCCTATAATTACTCAGATTGTTCTGCTGAGCCTTTTAAGAATACAATATAAAAACTTCGTAAAATATGCATTACATTTTAGATGTGAAGAGGCATTGAGAAAAAAATTAAATTTTTACCTTTAAAAAACATGAGTTTGTTGTACCTGTTAATTAATGTTCCTCGTAGAGAATTGCAAAGCATTGCCTGCAGACTCTAAAAAAATCTATAAAATTGAAATTTCTCTCCCATTTTTTTGGCAAGAAGTATTTCCTAACTAGAAAAAACAGCCTAAAAAGATGGTCTAAAAGTATCYAAAAGATACTAACACCTTATTTGCAAGATTTCAGAGTCACTTTCTTCATGTGCTCAAAAGATAAACATTTAAATAAAATCTACCAACTGCTCCTGACAATTACTGTACATCTGCCTATAAACACAGACCCTGTACAAAATAAAAATCAACAGGGAACCYACATCATAGAATAACAGTGAATTCTGTTTTCCTGGTGAAATTTTGTTTAAATTATKATTTTCTAGACAAACACTGGCCAGATAAACGTTTCTGAACTACAACTCACTTAGATAGTATATAAGTTATAACTTAAGAAGACAACAGTATCAGCTCTTATTTCTGAATCATCTCAAAGATTCTTCAGAAAAAGATTATATTCCCCCAATCTACTTYTCATAACAACACTTACTACATAATTTATATATTACCTGCAAAAGAGAGGCTGCTACTCCTTGGTGTGTCTATCTCTGGTATAACACTAAGTTCATGTTGCTCCAAACCGAGCCCTAACTTGACTTTTGTCACAGGTGGTTTGGAAGATCTCCATTTCTGTTCTCTACAGAGAACTTTCTCAGATTGTTCTGTAAAACAAAGTTTAGTACGTTGCAATAMCATGCACAYACAYAYATATATAYACACACATATACACAAATTAACATGGAGASATGAAAGAGAACTCCATCTCAGCTGTAAGGTAATAAAAATWATAATGAAAAATAACAAAGAGCCTTACCAGTTTGCTCAACTAGACCAATGCACTGTGAAATCATTTCACTTCCGTGAAATTTACTCCTGTCACAATTCTCTTGCTGGTAGTTTCCTGAGACTTGGAAAAAGTCAGTTCTCTTACTCCAGCTGGGCTTTTGTGCCTCTGTYTTTTCTTCATTTGGGGACACATGTCTCACCTTAGAAGTGGGGGAAGCAGTTTTATGTAAGATTATATTTATACTCATTCATCAAACAAGTGTTTTCTCAGTGTGCATTCCACCCAGGACAATATAGAGCATGTTGATAAAGTAGTTCAAGTATGCAAGATACCGGGCAGATGTGCTTAAATCACAAAACACATTTGGACACAGAGGTATTTTACTTAGCTCTACAAACCTAATGCTCTAAAACACAGTTAGTTACATTTWCATGGCCTAGGTTAGATCAGAGTACTCATTTTTACAGTAACAATTTCTGAAAAGTCTGCTTTTAGCTTTTCAGCTCCTGAGTTCAAGAATTTTAGCTGCATGGAATGTCTCAAAATCAAATGACAGGAACTAAAGGTAACAGTTATTCTTATAAAATGGCTTACATTTAAAAAAAAGACTAGGGGAGGCAAAAGGAATCAAAACTTTAAAACTTTTTGAACTTTAGAAGTTCAAAAATAAACTTTGGAGTTTTCTTCTGTTACTGAGAAACAAGGAAATTACAAGACTGCAGCTGCCAAACCAATTTCCTAATGGGTACACACAAAAGGACAAGCTTTAAAAATAATCTATTCAAGATGCTTATGATATCCTTTCAGGYATTGCCTAAGTATTTTTAATACAAGGGCTATTTAACACACAGAGGTTCATCTAGAGATAGGAAGACAATTCTACCTACAAGTATTTCAGATAACATAACGATTTCAATAGGCATTATATTCAGAGACCATGTATGTACGTTCACAGTATTTGTTAGACTGAACAAAATTGTGCTCTTGGGGCTTACAGAGCAAAAGTACTGATTACAAATCACAAGTCCTAATTAAAATTTTCATTATGGTAAATCACCTAAAACTATCAACACTCCTTGGGGTACTCTGCTAATTGGTAGTAGTGACTCATAAGTCTGATCACCTACTAGATCATTCCCCATGCAAACTGTTTATAAAGCTTACCAGCTTGTTTAGAAATTCTTTCAAAGTCTCTTGCTGTCTATGCATCTGTTCCTTCAATTTATCTTGCTTCTGTAAAAGTAGTTGTTCTTGTATTCTCTGTTTAGAAAGCAGAGCTTCCCTTTGTGCATCTAGCTGTTCTTGCAATTCTTTCAAATGCTTTTGCTGAGTTTGGATGCTTTCTGATGAAGCCAACACTCTGTCCCTTAAATTCAGTATACCAGAATAATTTAACAAAGATGSATCTCCTGGTTTTGAAATACCCTGGGCTTTAGATTCTTCGTGTGCTGAAAGACTGAGGGGCTGTTCAGGGCTTGTTTTGCTGGTGCTCTCTACAGATCCCTGCTGACAGGCTAAAGGATCAGCTGAGGCTATACAGGATCTCTTTGCTGCTGGCATGAGAGATGTCTTAAATGGGTGCTCTTCTCCAGCTTCTGTCTCTGTTTGATAGTTAGATACCTTCTGAGRTAACTCTTTAAAGTGTACTGTTTCTGAAGACTCAGAGGAACTTTCCGCAAGCAACGAAAATCTAACTTGCTGTCGGCGTGATTCTGGTTGTGGTCTTACTGCAGTGACCTCTTTCCTGACTAACCCTGAGAGTAACTGGGCCTGGGTCGGTTCTCTGATGTGATTACTGGTGGTTTTGAACACTCCCACTTGTTCCTGTGAAGGACAGTCACGTGGCAAGTCAAACTGTCCATGCTTCAATTTTGATGCTTCTGAAAACCGCACTGATTTGCCAGGACAAACACTATGCATTTGCTCTTCCTGCTCCCGTGAAGATGGTTTTTCCAACATATGTAATATTCCTGAAAATRCAGGTAATGACTGCACATATTCTTTGCAATGAACTTGTTCCRATGCCTGGTACTGTGTTGGCTGTGCTCCTTGCTTCTGTAGGAATGGTTCTGAGATAGGCTCTAAATTAATGGATTTTGTTTCTATTGAGCTCAGTGGTGTTGCAGAAGTAGCCAAGTACCTTTGTTTCAGTGTATTCTGATACTCCTGTAGATGCTTTCTAGCTTCTTCAATRGTCTGTTTGTGCAACCTAAACAGAGTGAAAACACAAATCTTTTCAGAGCAATGCAAAAAGGAACATCAATTTCAATAATRAAGGCAATTCAAATTACTTTAAACWGGCATTCCATAAAGACACTTACTGTTTTTGCTGCAGAAGGTGTTGTTGAAAATTACGTATTATCTGTATATGACTGTCTTCTCTAGGACTCCTGCTTTCTGAGACAGCAGCATTTCCAGTCTAATCAAAATAAAATAATTTTAATTGCACATATCCAACTAACTCACAGAAAAGTATTATGGCAACAACCTTAAGCTGTACGTTCTTTCTCCTAAGTTTACAGAAGTCACTGGGTACCACCATGTTTGAAGTCTGCAAYATTTCAGCCTGAGGCAATGAAGCTAAAGGAGTTTCTAGAACAGATGGCCCACAGCTACAGTCTCTCTCTGCACACACCATCAAAGTCAATGGTGCTTAGAGCAGCTCAGCCTAAAGAGGTGAATATACCCTGCAAACTCAGGGAGCAATGAGCCAATATAGTTGCACTTCCAAGGCAATCAGGCTCTCGAAAGAGTACAGGTTGCACAAATGAATCAAGATTTTATACATAAAAAAGACTACTTTCCTTCAACATCCTCCACAAATTCATCTTCTTTAAGTAGCTGTTTGAGATTTACACAGAMAAAGACAGTGGCAGATTTTTGTGTCTTTTTTTTCCCTGCTATGATTTCCTTTTTCCTTCTTGAAAAAGGTCACGTCTACATGCACCATCATTATGTGATTCTAATCAAATTTTACTAACAGGTATTATAAACAGACTTGCTGTCCCTGGGACTATAGAGAGATAATACAATAGCAAAAGTCACATATTAAAACATAATATTACACAACATCTTGAGTTGAAAGGGACCCAAAAGATCATCAAAGTCCAGCTCCCGGCCTTGTACAGGACCATCCCCAAGAGTCACAGAACATACCTGAGAGCACCATTCAAACACTCCTTGAACTCAAAGGGGCGTGGTAGTGTGAGCACTGCTCTGGGAGCTGTTCCAGGGCTCAACCACCCGCTTGGTTAARAACCTYTTTTCACAGTATCTAACSTAAATCTCCCCTGACAGATTCATGCCACTCCTTCGGGTCCAGTGATACCATGTGAAATATAAGCTTGTACTCTAGMAAAGGAAGCTTTTATACCGCAAATTTCTAATTCACAGCCTAAGAAATAAAAATTGCCTTGATTGATACTGTTAAAATTGGTAAATGGTGCTCTTTATTTTTATWATAATAGTAATTAAAAACCTACACACGATTTTCTATAATTCTTCACCTCATATTCTGTTTGGTTATGCTGATCTGTAGAAGGGAGACTGTGGCTTTGTACCAGCTGACCTTGCTCTTCCTCTTCTTTTTTTTTCTTAGCCTGCTCCAAACAGGTTTGCATCTGGATCTTCAGATAATCAGCCTCCAAAAGTGCTTTCTCTTCCTCAATTTTTTTAATCAAGGCCAACTGCTCCTGTTTCTGTTGCTCTATTTCCTCATTCTGTCGAAAAGAAAAATGARGGGGAATCTCTAGAACTGAACAACTAAGAAACCAGTCTCCTCACACACACCATCACACACAGAACTTTGTTCCAAATTAGAGAAGAAATTCTATTGCTTGTGGCAGRTATTTCAACCTGCCTTTAAAATTGCAGCCGGCCTTCAAAAGTCGTTCCAAAGTTTACAGGAACAATTTTGTTTGACACAATTAGTATTTTTAACAGTCCCTGAATCCAGTTACTATTGCACTATTATCTATTCCCAAATTAATAAAATGGATATAATCAGAATCCATTMAAGACACATTATCATTTTCTGAAGACTGCACAAGTCCTCTCCTTGAACTTACTTCAGAAGTCTATTTTGTGTTTTACTGTTTTTCATCAGAGTTCAACACATGTAAACATGAATTCAAGCCTTACAAAACTTCTGATACAGCTAATGTATAASCAATTTGAGAGCACTCCACAAACCTCTGAAGCAGTCTGTTTATTTTTATTCTCTGTCCATGTAACTATCAGCTACAATTCACCTAGATCCACTTAGCAACAGCATATGTGCTTTTAAAATGGAAAGAAAGAAAAATTTCGAAGTACTAGCAAAGATTAAGTGGACAACAGCCTTCAATGGAAGTCTGAACGGGGATGTCAGGAAAAGCAACCCGAGAAAAAGCTGGACCTGAGAATAGTTAATGTGGACACAGCAATACATACACYTGGCCAGATGCAAAGCGGGAGGAAATGAATGTTAAAGAAAGTAGCTACACTTTCACAAAGGATCTGGTACCTTTTTTTTCTAAAATATTACTGTTTTGTCAAATTTTTGTTTTCTTTCTTTCTGAACTTAAAACTCCTCAATTTATGGCTGCATTAAGACCCAAATTTCAGCTTTTTTTTTCAACTGGTAAATCACCACRTAACAGCTGGTAGGTCTCCAGGGATACAACAATAATTAAAATACAACTAAACACATACAAAATTCATATAATGAAATCATACACCAAGTTATAATTTTCTAAATATAATAAATATGGYATTCCCAGATACACAAAAAACTTTCTGCATTGGCTTCCTAGTTCACAAACAAAAATTACTCAAGGTTTGCATGCTTTTCCTGTCACTCAAAACACAATTCTACCCATAGACTTTCCTACATTATTACAGATGGTTAATAAAGTTTTCAGTTGTGTATTGCTGACTACATCCTCCCTTTATAAAGCAAAGGTAGTAATGTACAATTGGGATCCTCACTTAAAGCATGGTTACATCTCTTGCCTACAGCATGTTTTAGATTTTAAGAAACTGGACCTTTCCACTCTACTCTAAATTCCAGCTACAGCTTCAATATTTAAAAAAGTACAGAAAATTTTACAGTAGAAGTTTAAAAGTTAAGAGCACCTAAAGCTGCTGTATAACCTGAAACATTTTAAAGTCTTCTGTAAGTAACTTTTTTACACCAGAACTGAGATAGAAATAAATACAAACACACTTACCCACTTCTGTCTCTCCTCTTCTATTCTAATTTTAGCTGCTTGCTCTTGAGGATGGATTAGAACTGACTGTTCATCTGCAACTGTATTTTTCAACATTTTCATAGGCCCTAAAATATACATGTTATTTAGCTGTGATTGCAGTCAGTGAGCCTTGGATCTTTTTTACATCTTGCTTTACAATATCTCTAAACAAAATGAATAAGCTGCTCTTGAAAAGATCTCCATCCTCCTACTCTGCCTGTGTCCRTAAGCTGGGAAATAATTTTTTAGTATTATTTAAATATTTAATGGCCCTGTATTGTGTGGCTTCTTGAATACACAGTAATGTSCCAGCTTCAATGGGACTGAAAATTACTTCTAGCAGATTACTTGCGAGTCCAAGAGCAAGATCATCCTGAAGAATCAAAAGCCCCATAATAACCTCTTGGAAAAAAAGGGTCTAAAACTAGCACTCACTGTCTAACATTTGGCTATTGCACAAAAAGCAAGTCTTAATTCTGTACTGTTAGCTTCCAATAGCAGCACATTTTCCCCAAGGCATGGCTTCACTCACACTGCACTCTCCAAACCCCAGGCATTATGCTGGCATGATAGTTAAATCACTTTATCTTGTTTAAAAAAACAAGCACCCTATGAAAGCAAAAAACCCAAGCAACCAAAACATATGCCACAACTTGATCACATTCAAACTGCAAAAATCCCACTTAGCACACAGATCACTAACTTAAGCACTACCTAACAAGAACGGCACCAAGCATAGACATGGGAAGTAAATCCCAAGATGATCTGGTTACCAAAAAAATTGTAATGTCTAATTGCTATAAATTCCAATTTCACAAAAAGGCTTTTCAGAATGGTGCCTGAAAGCAGAAAAAGAAACTTCACTAATCAGATTATGCTTGCATTGGGCATTTATAGCTGTGAATCCCCAAAGAATACAGCTTTTCTAGCTCAATAGGTACAGAACTCCAATGCCAACTTCTGCACTGAGAACTGTATCCCTGGACGCAAACATCTATTAAATCATGGGAACACCAAGTGTGACAACAATTTGGGTGAAATTTGAAAGATAGAAAGGTATTTAGGACTGCTCTCTTCAAGATCTTAATGGACAGGTTGCACATAAGAACAAAAACCTCTCCTATTTGTAGTTTCCACAAATCCGCAATGCCTTGTAGGCACAGATAGGGAACCGTACTTTCATTSAACCTGACAAAACATTTAACACTGAAAGTTCATTAAACAGCTTTGTCTWACAAGTCTTTTGCTCCTACATAACAAACTTTCATGCAAGTACATACTACATACCTTTGTCTTCAGATACTGTATTTTTCTGCTGCTCATTGTTAAGTTTTAAATCACATAATGGTCTCTCTTGAATGGTGCCTAATTCAATAGTCTCATATTCACTTTGACTCTCTTTCTCACTTTTTGATGTCCACTCCTCTTTTTGGCTGTTAATTTTGTTCAACAATTTCTTTAAGGCAAGTTTTGATCGAGGTTGGCAAGTTTTTCTTTCTTCATGTCCTAAGAAGAATACATGCTGTTAAGAGTTTTGGGTAATGAATATCTTTACATGATAAAAAAATGACCTAWTTTTTTTATTGCTTAGAATTGGACAAATAGCCCAGATCTATTTTTAAAATCTTAGCAATATTTTCTCTAACTTGCAAGAGAAAAGCAGTAACTGGTCTCTGCAGGCTATAAAAGGGCTAAGCTGGATGTACTGTTGCAGAGTCAAACTGCTGCAGAAATAAGCAGTACCATCCCACACCTGCCTATATGTTCCTGCCCTCTGCTTTGTATCAGCACTGGCAGCACAATGCACCACAKACCAAACACCAGACTGGACCACCCAAGGGATGCAGAAGCACTTGGCCAAACAGAAAAGTTCACTGAGACACTGATTCACATCACACGACCCTGGACATGCCACAAGCAAACATGAMACTCATGTACCTGTTCCACCCTACTCACAATATGCAGCAATTCAACCACAGACCTGAACGTAAAGGACACACAATAAGCAGACTTTCATTCATAGTAAAGCTTTAACTTTGAAAYATCTCAAACTGGAAAATATTTAAATTCACAACCACCATCAGTCCATAATTTATACTAATATAAGAATAATTATGGTTACTAACAGTGTAGTTCTTACAATGGAATATTATTCTCTGTATACTAATGAACTGAAGCACATCAGAAAAAAGTCATACTTTCATTTTTAATTTCATTATCATTAGGGTATCACCATCTTTGCTAAACAGCATAAACCACATGATACTGAAATATTTTACACATATTAAGAAGTTTTACTACTTAAGGCATTTTAATTATTACTAAAACTAATTTATTTTATATACTAGACTAATCTTTTCTAATACAAAATTAAAAAGCTTAAGTTAGAAGTGAAATTTAGAAGTTTTACTTTCTGGTTCATTAGGGACCTCTTCTATCACATGTTCTGATTCTTGTTTAGTAGCACAAGGAAACTCTGGCTGAGTGTCACAAGAAGGTTCTTGCTCCAAAGAGATATCAAGATCATTATCTTGAGCTCTTTCAGAAGGGGCTGGCAAAGGCTGTGGCTCAAACTGCAAAATCAGGTCTCCTTTCATGTCTAATTAAAAGAATACAATGAGATAAAATGACCACATGGAATACAAAGCAAACAACATTGCAAGACTACACTCACATACAAATCCCCAGGAAATTCAAATATCCATAGGTTGTTTCACAACAGATTTAATCCAGCTTTTTTCCTGCCAAAACAAAAGATTCAAAACTGTTTACATTAACAGTCATTTATCCATTCAGAACCTCCACAGCAGTTTCCACTAGAATATGCTATGTTTTTCAAAATAAAAGTTGATGTGATGAAAGGCTCATCTTTACAMAAAAAGCAGCTCACAGAACTTCACTGGGGAAAAGACACATCACGGTGTGGCYGCTCACAAGTGATCACATGATCCAGGTGTGAAACTGCAGAAGACTGAACACGAAGAAYTCTCCCATGATCATTTTACTGAGGGGCTACAGCCTACAAGGGATGTGGSACACAGGGGAAGATACCTTGCAATTGTATGCTTCTCATATATACTTAGGGGAGAAACCCAAGGCAGGGAAAGGAAAGGATCAAGTTAGTCAGGGGAAGAACAAGTACGAGACAGTAATATAAAAATAGTGAGAYGAGACAGTCAGTACCCTTGTCTGTSCACGCACCGTGCCTGGCAGTCTRTTCTGTCTCCTCACTAAATTCCATTTGTAGCTGTTTTCCTGTGAGGAGCTCTGTATTTTGTATGCACGTGTGTGCATGGATATGTAAGGGACAGTGACTGGAAGAGGGACTGAAAGTCTAAGGTGCACCTGTGTCCAGAGCACTGCCACCTGCAGAGGCCACAACCAGTGCATAGGTGGCTACAAGTATCAGCATGCCACAGCTAGCAAATCACAAGCTAGACTACCCACCAAGAATGGTAAGATGATTAGGAGCTATGCATCAAGCAACTCTAAGACTGGGCTGGGTATTGCAGAAGCCAAGGGATCKACAAGGGGATATGTCTAGTGGAGGGATCAGGAAATCCAAATTTTCAAGCCAGCAACAGTGAAGATGAAGGGATCCTAAGAAACCTACCAGCAATGTCGGTGCATCCCCAAGACAACAAGGGGATCCAGGGACAGCTCCTGGTTAGACTGAGCATGTAAAGCCAGTTCCCAYAGGAATCCATAGCATGTGCATGTCTGTACACATGCTCACATGCCCAGTTGGGTCCATGCAACAACAACTGGAGTGGAGCAGCAGAGCTTGGGGATTCATATGCCCCGGAGCCAGCAASTGGGAAGACTAAAGATCAAGGGCCAGCTGCCAGGTAGAGTGAGCATCTAAACCTATTCACCAAGTGAACTACAGCACATAATTGACCATAGGTGCCTTTGAGTGCATATGTGAATATGAGGTTACTGTAAGGCTACAGGGTCCAGGATGAATCACTGGGTAGATTGGGTGTCTAAGACCTAAGCAGGATCAGTAGTGCAGCAGATAGAGACCCCCCTGGGATACAGGGGGCAACTACTGCACAGACTGAGTGTCTAAGACCAACTGCTGGAGGGATGCTACCACATGTAYAGACATGAAGGCTAATAACAGGCCYTCATCTTGATCAGCCAGAGCAGTAAACAGGAGCAGGCCATTTGTGCTGCTTGTACTTCATGTGAGTGCTGTGTTTTCTGTGTTGGCCTGCATGGCCAGCRGTGTGTATGTGCCCTGAAAGCCTGTTTGTGTGTGTGCCTACTGTGAATACACACATGGCCTTGCTATGGCCAGGCTGGACTGGGAAGAAGCAGCTGCAGCAGCCACTCCTCTACTGGTACCAGATTCAGCAACCTCCAACAAAGAACTTACTCCTGTCTTCASTGTACATTTCCTCAAATGCAGACTCCAATTCTCTTTGCCTTTCTTCTTTTATTTCCATGCGTTTGTATGGTGGCACTGAAAGCTGAGGCGGCATCTGTGCGACAACCTGTCTCCTGCGCATCCGATCCAGAGCCTGCATTTGCTCCAGTTCTTCCAGGAGCCTTTCCCTGTCCTTCAGGTATAAAAAAGGGATAACATAAACCTTTSCTGTTCACATTCAGATAGCCACATGTCAGGACTGATACAAAATGCCTCAATTTGTAATGCCAAAATTTGGTTACCATAATGTTTATTGAATCCTTAATGTTCAAAGTGCTTCCTCAGGAGAAGACTGTATCAGATCTGTAGACATAGGAGTCATCAACTATCTAGAAGATCTAAGATTAAATAAATCTAATGATCTAAAAGATCTAATGTATAATAAACTCTGTACCTGTGGGCCCACTTTCCTTAAGAAAATTAAATCTTCTGTTTTTTAGGGTTAACAAGTACTTCTTTTGGCAAGTTACTTTTGTTAGTATATAATTCAGCAATTGCTAATTTTTAAGATGTAAACTAAATACCCTTAGGCATACTGAGCATATGTGAAGGCTATTTAAAAAAATAAAGATGTTTGTTGGGGTTTTTTTTTGTTAATTTCAGGAGTCAGTAGTATTTCCAGAAATTCCCATTTTAGTTTGGCTACTCATTCAGGGCCAATCGTATCTCAGCTGATAAAAAGAAAGCTTTTGCTATTTCTAGCCACCAAAAATAGCTGTGAAAGCAGCAGAAAATGAACATTTTTTGAGTGTAACTCTCAGTACAAAGACTTTTCTCAACAGTTTAGCTTTTACTTCTTAAAGGAAACTAGTTCAACATCTCCAGACTCACACACTAATAGAATGCCTGTCTTTTAAGTAAAAACTTTGAAAAGTTTTCAAAAAATAAAAAAAACTGTTACCTTGTTAGCAATGACTTTTTTCCTTGAAGTACAGAATAACCAACTCCAACTAAAGCTAATGTGGAAAAGTAGAAGTCATCACCTATTAAAAAAGTTTTGCTTGACTATTACTTATTGGTTAATAGCTGGTCAAACATTCAGATAACAGAAATTAGAGGATGTTCTTTCATTCTCACTCCTTCCAGATGTCAAATACAGCAACCAGATTTTGACTTTTTTTTTTTAAAGACATTCTGCAAACTTTATTTATCCATCAATTTCCCCCCTGTAAATGTAATTCCTTTATTAATCACCTACCTACAACCTAACAGTGGTCGCCCTGACACTAAAAACAGGCATAATTGCTTCGCTTACCTTGGCCAACTGGATCTTCTTCAAGGCATGATTTCCTCTAACATGTGCCTTTTCAAGCTGTTTTCTTCTTTCCGTCTCTGCCTTCCTCTCTAGCTCCTCCAAACGCCTCCCTTCTTCTTCAGCAGCTAAATGAGCATCTGGCTGGCAGTCAAYCAATAGTTTAGTCCACAAAGTTCTTTGATAGTTTAAAGCATATGTAACAACAAATAAACAARTAATTCTGCAACAAAAGCACTTTGAAAAAGACATACAATGCCATATGAACATCCTTGGATGYTCACTTTGCAAGCAAGACCAAACTCATTTTTTGACCTTTGGAAGAAAATGCATATTTACATAYTTTATAAGTTTAGGTGTCAAAGTGTTCCAGTTTCAAGATGTACCAGGTACACTGATTTATATTATTTATTTGTTACAGCAGAATGGTTATTTTTCCTACAATACATGGTAAAATGAATTATATGGTCAAGAYTACAGATTGAGTACTTCTGTCCTCATGGTTTTAATTTTAAACAAGGGAGGAAAAAAAAAGACCCTGAAGTATTTTCAATCTCATCTGGGAAACCAGAAACAATCTGCAATTTTTAAAGAAGAAAAATCCTACTAACATGAAAAAAAAAATCATTCCAAATAAGGAAGGCAAATACAAGGCAAGTTGGGGCAAAAGAGAAAAAAAGGGGGTAAGAGAAAAGCAGGGCAGCTGCAGCTATCAATTCAGCRTAAGTCACAAGTCTTCCAATTTGAGTGTTAGAATGTTATGCCAGGCTTGAGATCTCGCCTTCTTACAGAGTTGTGTTCACAAGGGACTGCCAGATGTGATCCCCCAAGTGACTGAGCACCTAATGGGCTTTTAAGTCTGCCCATCTATGGTTCTCTTTAGTAAGTTGTGTAAACAGGTGCTTTATACAGGTGCATATCTTTAAACAGGTTCTAGAAAATCCAACAGCTGACATCCAGATACTATGCAATTTAAAGAAACATATGTGAGCGTGTAGCACAAACACTTGGAGTTAATCACCTGCTCTYCATCCACTTCTCTGTTCACCAAAGTTTCAGAAATGTGGTACCGTGTAACAGAAAAGTTGCCAGCACCAGAAGGCTTCATCGCAGCGATCTTTTTCACTTCAAAACTCTAGGAAGAAAAGTACAACTACAGCTGTATCACAGAACGGTATCTCTAGCAAAGYAACTAAAGAGAAGTGATTCATACAGCTAAATTCTTACTAAAAGTAACCCACCCCACCAAACTCTGTCCTGAAAAATATTGTTTAAAAGCTTATATACATGTAATAATTAATAAATCATATCAGCACAAGGCAGATCTAGAGGGCTTCAATCACTGAGAGCATCTAACAATCTTAGGCAAACCCCTCCATACAAATCGATACTCATCAGTGTCATGTTTCAAAAGCATTCATTTAAAAGCACTTAAGTTTAACACACTAATACAAATTCCACTTAYAATAGCTGCCACACACCTCAGAGCAGGGCAACCACAGACCCACAGCGTAATTGCATCTAATAGCAAAGTAACACTTGTCAAGTACAGACTTGCTTCAGGAAACTCAGAGCCACTATGTCCAATTTATTAGTTGACCAGAGAAGAAATTTTTTTTTCTGTAACTTCACTGAAAAGTGTCTATTCATACAAAGCTAAATTGCTAGGGTTTTTTTTTCTTAAGTTTTGGGTACACTAATACATTCCAACATACTTTTTTGATGAAAGTCTGAACAATGAGCCATCAGACCCTCCCTCTTCTTTGACTTAGCCTCATGTTCTCAGTAGTGAAGYAGCCAGGTTGGGTAACTCAATATTCTGCAGGAATTGTCTTTGTACTTCTGAATATCTCCATTAATTTTCTTTTACATTCCTCTTCCTTTGACTTTCTCCTAAAAAGGGATTCTTATCCACATTAACTAAACCAGCAAGATTCATAGCTTGAGTGGTCTAAAACTAACGTGGCCATAAAGAAATGCACACCCACAGAAAGCAGCATAAACTCTCGGGAATATCTTAAACTTATCTCTTCATGAGAAGAGGCATATAAAAATTCAGTATTGACTCACTGTCTTATGAAGACTGTAGAAAGTAGTCTTTAAATGAAAATCAAAGTATCATAGAATCATTTTTGTTGGAAAAARCCTTCATCAAGTCCAGCCATTAACCCAGCACTGCCAASTCCACCACTAAATCATTCTCCTGAGCACCACATCTAAACATCTTTCAAATACCTCCAGGAATGATGACCTTAACACTTTCCCAGGCAGCCTGTTCCAGTGCATGACAAGCCTTTCAGTGAAGAAATTTTTCCTAATATCCAGTCTAAACTTCCCCTGGTGCAACTTGAGGCCATTTCCTCTTGTCCTATCACTTGTTAACTGGGAGAAGAAACCACCTTCCACCTGGCTACACCCTCCTTTCAGGCRGCTGTAGAGWGGTCCCCCAAGCCTCCTTTTCTCCAGGTTAAATATCCCCAGCTCCCTCTGCCACTTCTCATGGGACTTGTGCTCCAGACCCTTCCCCACCTCCACTGCCCTTCTCTGGACATGTTCCAGCACCTCAATGTCTTTCTTGCTGTAAGGGGCCCAAAAGTGGTAAAACTAATTTTAGCCTTACCAACAGAACTTCAGTAACTTATTTGATGGTCCTTAAACAAATGCATGTTACTCTAGCAGGTAAAAAAAAATAAAACTGCTAAATTTCTTAATCAATAAAAAACATAGTAATTCTAACAGATCAAGAATAACCAAAACACTTGTAGATACTGATTAYAGCCCTGAGGACAAACCCCGTGCCTAAACCTCATTAGTCAGAATATCAGTGTTTCCCCTGTACTGTGTTACTTTCAGAATGTACAATTAAAGCACTCTGCYGAGTTACTACAAAAATGTAAAATCAACAAATCAATAATTAATAATTACATGTAATCAATCAAATCTCCAGGATTTTACGCAAAAGCTAKGAAGATGTGAGAATGATGGTGGAGGCTGCAATTTTCCAATTAATGTCAAAAGCAATTTAGGCTGGAAAAAATACCATACTTCCACCAAGGTTTTGTAGCTCCTCCCTACTTTTTTTTTCCCCCTCCAAAAAGCAAATAGTTCTATACTAAAATCTGGCAAAACTGGARCAGCAATGTATGAAATGGTACAAAAAACCCAACAAAAAACCCACCACCCCAACTTTAGAAATGCTATGAATACTCAAGCAGAGTACAGTAACACCTTTTAGGTTTTATCTTGGTTACATAAAAATCTAATAGATCTTATAAGAATAAGTAAATTTMCAAGAACTCTGCAAGAACTTGCCATGAAATGGTGTTTACAGTTTAACTGCAGTTAAGTAACTTCTTGTTTCATCTAACTAAATATGGCCTCAACTCCTAAAAATCCATCCTTCTGACAACGAGAATGGATTCTGACAATCAAGTAAAAATACTTMTTTTCTAACTGGGTAAAGTAACAATAATAGGAGGACCTTCAACAAATGTTCCTTATATTCTAAGTAATCATGCAATGAACAATACTGCCCTAGCTCCATTTTATGAAATTTTAGTCAAYTGTTATTGCAACAGACCATCAGATTATGATTGTAGTTATATTTAATAAGCTCCTTATGCAAATTGATTCAAAAGAGAACAAGCAGTCTTGTTCAGATGACCCTGTAATTTGCTGTAATTCACARGATTTAAAGTTAGACAATTCCAATTCACTGCCTTTTGAGTAAYACACTTGCAAGCCAATGCCCAAATTCACCTTCCCCCAAACTGATAGTCAATACCTTTTGTTTTCTCTCTCTTGAAGCAGGAAAAGGAATAAAATCTCTCAATCTTTCAATTACTTAGCATTTTCCCCCATGAAGTACATGGCACCAAATAAAACTCAGAAGAAAATAATTTTATTCTTCACCTTGTGCCCTCCCAGCAACATAAGTCTACAATAAAAGGATTAGAATCTATACAGACATGAAAACTAGGAAAAAGGCTTAAAATCAGCTAGTCTTTCAATTGAACAAATTGACATGCTGTGCTATATTAAAACAGAGCAATCTCTTTCCTCAACAAAAACTCAACATGTCTGCAGAATTACTGATTCAATTTGCCATTATAACATGAACTTCTTAATAGAAACAAAACCTACACACTATAGAAAATCACGATCTTTGCGAATTGCTAAAACCAGTTGCAAATCACATTTGTTGAAAAGGAGAGTAAAGGACATTTGCTCATGGTTGGAAATGCATTAATTTTGGGAAAGGAACAATACTCAAATAGAGCACTGACCCAGACACGTCATTCAACACAATTGTATATGCAATTCCAGTTTCACCAGAACCTGGAGAAACCTGGAAACAAAGCATGAGTATGACAGAAGGGTGAGGAGGCATGTAATCTACGTGCTGAGAGAGATCATTATATAGTTTCATACCACTGGGGCTGTTAAATGAAAATGAGACATGATAAAAGTTTAAAAAGACACATTAACTACAAAAATAAGAATCTGATGATAAAAAATAAAATTCACACATAACAAGAGACCAGYAAAGTACCAAAACCTAGTAGCAAGCAGCCTACTAATATATAATTAAATGGTTCTCTTGGTTTTTGCTGAACCRCTCTCCCTATAGTATGCAAATACCAACTCTGGATGTCCTGTTGTGACAAGACAGACCAATAAATATATTGGTACTCTGAAATTGTGATCACTGTTGCATCATGGATACATACCTCAAAAGGACGTGGTGGAGGAGGTGGCAGGCTTGCAACTTTGGCTGCTCTTTGTCTTTCCACTTCCAGAGCACGTTTACGTGCGTCTACTCGTCTTGGGGGACAAAACCAAAACAAAACAGAAGAGAAGAGAGAAAGAAAACCATTCAAGCAACAGTCACAGAACAGTGCAAAATAAAAGGTAAACCTAAAATCACATTCCTAAGTACCTGCATTGAATTCTCAGGCCATAGGGCTGAGGAAGCATATTGAAAAGTCAACAGAACTTTGGCTGGAAGGCAGTGCTAAAAATTAATTTCTTCCACTTATGAAAAATATTAATACACACAAGCATCCCAAAAGCAATGCAAAATCTTTGCTTTTGARTTAAGTTTGCAAAAAGCATTGTGCATTTCCACATACTTCAAGTGCCTGAATGAAGACATAGTTAACCATTTCATTAAGAGCTCTCAGCTCTACACAAGCACAACTATGCCCAAAAGGACACAGACCATTTTTCATGCCAGCTCAAGTTTGGTCCAATCTGCTTAATAAAAAAAARCCCTAAGAAGAAAGACCATGACAAATGCACTAGGTCCTTTTTTCAAGTGGGTAACTCTCCATCAGGAACTGGCCTGACAACATTTCATTTAATAGGTCACTGAACTCCTGSAGAGTCCGCAAGGCCAGTGTAAATATTTGACATTTTTGTCTTGCTTTTAAAGCAACAGTTTTTATCGAAACCCACAARCTTTGTCTATGAGCATTAACTCTCTAACCCATAAAATTTCAAGACYGCAAAAGCTCCAAGCAAGAAGCATCAAAATTTTTGCCTTTCACTATGTAACACTGTAAAATGCATTCTTAATAAAACTAAATTRCTATTGCATACCTGGCTTGTTCACGAAGTAAATTTTCTTTTTGTTGCTTCTGCTCTATCAGAGCTTTTCTATGTCTTGTCTCTGCTCTTTGTTTCCTTTCCTCTGCTTGCTTTGCCAGAGCTTCTAAGTCAGGCTCCTTAACATTAAAATATTGTAATCACTTAATACAGAATTATACTCACATCTCATACTATCAGTACAATATTTCAAATTACATACTGCTGGTAAGAAGCACAAGCTCCAAACTACCTTCTACTGTATTAGAGTAAAAATACTCTATYAACTTTTCCTTCTCTGCCATCTTTGTTTTCTTCTCCACTACTAAATGCAGCAAAACTGCCACATTCTTCAGCCAATTTAACCAAACGCTGATGTAGAAATCTTAGCTCCTTCTGCATCAGTTTGATGAACAGAACAATTTAAGCATATATGCACCCTGTAGCAAATGCAGACTAAWGGGTGTAGAAAAATCGTGTTACTAGCACTCAGTCATTAACTGCWACAATCGCATACCAACAGAAACATCTATTATTAGTTCTCTGTTCCTATGATGTTGGTTGCAGAGTTTTTTTCAAACTCATCCATCCTAGCATTGGAAAGGACTTTATATGGAAAAGCATTTTACATTTATATGGAAATGCTATTTTACTTGGTCTCAAGATCCTGACTAATTCAGGAAGTAAGCTACTCTGCAAAAACCATGTAAGAAATCTACGGCTGACTCCTACAGAGCTGCTTCAGAGTCAAACCTATGGAAAAATTCTATCCAGCAATTTCAAACAGAGCTTACACGAGGGATTTTAAAGAAAGTGAAACCAGCTCATAGGTGCAGAATTAAAAAGTGACCCATTTGCAGTCCAGGCAAAGGCCTCTGAAGCCTTTACCTAGGCTTTCCACGTCACTCAAGCATTGAAGGTAAAAAATATGTTGTGCATTTTCTTAACATGGTAGAGAAAAAATTATTGTATTACTGGCATAATTGAGATAATGAATCACTATGTACAATGTAGTCAGGYACAAATATAAATATACATTTTTACAATCTAACATAAAGGAACTTTTAAAGCCTGCCCCGCAAAAGCCTTAGCAGATAGGCCTCTGAGAAGCTATCTGCAAAAAAGTACATTACCACTTCTAAAAACTTTCCATTCTTAAAAGGTTGTCTGTCTAGGTATCAGACTCCAAAACTCAGGAATGTCAAAGGAAAAAYAAAGAAAGAGTAATTTTGSTATTTCTAAAACATSTTAAAATTTCTCWGACAATATATGYAGGTTTTTGCTGGGTTAATTTTCTTCACAGTGGCTGATATGAGGCTGTGTTTGGGATTTGTGCTGAACACAGGGTTGATAATACAGGGATGTTTTTGTTATTGCTCAGCAGGGCTTACATAGAGCCAAGGCGTTTTCTGCTTTTAATGCTGCCACGATCACAAGGTAGTTGGGGGTGCTTGGGAGGAGACACAGTTGGGACAGGTGACTCCAACTGACCAAAGGGATATTCCAGACCATATGGCATCACGCTCAATACGTAAGGTGGGGAAAAGAAGGAGAGACTTCTGGAGTGATGGTGTTTGTGTTCCCAAGTAACCATTACACATGATGGGGCCCTGCTCTCCTGGCGATGGCTGAACACCAGCCTGCCCATGGGAAGCAGTGAATTAATTCCTTCTTTTGCTTTGCTCTGTGTGTGTGACTTCTGCTTTCCCTATTAAACTGTCTTTCTCTCAACTCAGAGGTTTTCTGGCTTTTACCCTTCYGATTCTCTTCCTGATTCCACTGGCAAAGGAGTGAGCAAGCAGCTGCCTGGTGCTTGGCTGCTGTCTGGAGTAAAACCATGGCACAATCATACTAAGCTCGCTTACATTCTCCTTGGCCTGTCGGTGACCCTCCCCAATCGCTCTTAAGCTTGATAAATACAGTTCTTCCAGGGCTTTCATCTTCTCATCCTGTGCCTTCTGCCATTCAGCTCTCAGTGCCTCCTCCARCTGATGTAGTTGTTCTTCTCTCCTCTGCTTTACCTTCTGCCTTATCTGGTAGGAGATATACTTCTGCTGCTCTCTGACCTGTAGAAATAGCATTTATGTTTTGCCAGCAATTCAAGAGAAGCACAATACTTTCTGTACTAAGACTTTCCCAACATAATCTAGCCACCTTCCATTTTTCCATCTCATCTACTATTCCATTCACAATCTGTCCAGAAAATACTTTATGTAAGTTGCTGTTACCTTTTTCCAAAATTAATATATAAAATAATAAACTTAATSTTGGTTAAATTCTTCAGTAAAGTCCAAAAAGTGATATACAACTGACAAACTGCAAAAACTGTTTGTAATATCCTTCCYTTCAAAAATACAACACAACAATTTATAAAAGACTCCTGCTGCAACTCAACATGGTTTAAAAAAATCAACAACTATACTGAAAATTTAGTAAACATGCTTTATTATTTTCCACTTTGTATTTTAGGAATTTTTTTTTTTTCACCAAGAGGTTTGTCAAGCACTGGAACAAGCCGCCCAGGAAAGCGCTTGAGTCACAACCGCTTGAGAAGTTCAAAAGATGTGCAGATGTGGCACTTAGGGACACGGTTTAGTGGTGGACTTGGCAGTGCTGGATTAAGAGTTGGACCTGACAGCCTCAATTTTTTCCAACCTAAAAAATTCTGTCATTCTACAATACTATTACCTTGAAATTTAGCTTACAGGAAATAATCTTCTCAGTTACTTAAATTAATTGTTACATCATCAAATGAAATACARCACATGGAAAAATACTGGCATACCTGTTGCAGCCTCAGTTTTCTTCTTCTTTCATATTCTTCTTTCAGAAACATAGCTTCTTCATTAGGACTAAGTCTCAATTTCCCAGCTGTTGCAAGTTTCCTCTTCATCTTTGAGTAAGTTGAATAATCACCTTCTATGAGAACAATGCAAAGAGAAAGAGGAATTGTGCATAAGTGACATTGGCAAACCAGCTATAAAAACAGAATATTGCCACGATGCTGTCAAATCTATCATGGTATCTGCATGTGAGAACTACAAATGGTCATGTCTGTCACAACTGGATGTTAGACTTGATGATCTCAGAAGTCTTTTACAACCTTAATGATTCTAACTGTAATCAACAGCATTGGCTCCGTCTTTATCACAATCACAAAAAAAAAGATGCTTTTGAACTACTTTAAGTTATGTACCAAACTCTGCAATAGTATCACATTCACATTCTACTCTGTGGACCAGCCATGAAGAGTGAACACCATTCCACTCCTGGGAAGATTTCAAAACAAACCCACAAACTATTGAAAAGCACACCCCACAGTAAAGCAGGCTGGTCACTCAGGTGATTTTTATTGAAATATTCTTGTAACTGTTGTCTACAAGATGTAAAATAAGATATAATCATGAATTTGYTAACATTTTTGGCTGCAGTCCAATGTTTTCTGCCATACTCATTGTGAAACTCTAGCAACAGTCTCCATGCCAAGCTTTTCACTGGAAAACTGAAACTTCTCACTAACGATTTTTTTATTCAAGTTTTCTTAAACAAATTTCAAATTGTTTCCCTTGAGATTTTACCGTGAAACCAGAATCTTCTGGTTCTACAGACTGCTTCCCATTTTCCTTGTAATTACAAGTATCATTACACAAAAAAAACCCCAAGACTTCTTCCATCTGATATATAGTCTAGTCTAAAATTCCCCTTCCCACATATTTTTATGGATWTTTAAATATTTATAATCCTGGAAATATTCACACAAAACAAACAAACAAACAAAGACTTTCAAAAGCCACCGTTTAATTGTAAAAAAACTAGTGCGCAATTCACACAGCACTAACAGTTCAACCAGCGTGTCACACCTGGAAAGATTTATTTTCAGCATCATACRTACTGATCTTAGTATATTTAGAGATAAATACAGTATTATAGGTAAAACAGCAAAACTCTAAAGAAATAAAGTGGGATGTAAAACCGAAGATCCGTAAAATACTTTTGGTCCAGGAGTATTAGAGCAATGAATCACAAGCTCTTTACAGCATAAAGAGGGACAGTAGTTTCCTGGTTCCCGCCAGTCCTCCTTCAGCCACCCGATGAGGTACAGAAGTTAATCGCTACACAAAATTAAGTACTAAATTACTACACTCCTCTAAAGAGAGGAAGAAGGTAGCGGATGGCCAATGCAAAGCGCAGATCTACAGGATAAGAGGCGAGGCAGAGATTACAAACGCCAAGCTTGCCCCGCTTCAGCCGCAGCACAGCGAGGACCCCGGGCCCGCGAGGGCCACTCCCACTAATCAGTCCCCGCCGGGAGTCCCCGCCCGAGCTGAGGAGGGACCGCGCGAAGGAAAGAGCAAGTTAAGCAGCCGGAGAAAGAGAAAGGGAACAAAAGGGAAAGGGGAGAAGAAAGAGGAGCTCACCACACGCACCCTCCACCACCGCCGCCTGGGCCCTCCCGCTCGCCGTGGCGCCAACGGCCGCCACCCCCTCCACGTGACCCCGCGCCGCTCACGGGCCGCCAATGGCGCATGCGTTCCCYKCCGCYCCGCCCACCWGAGCCCCGCCCCCTTCACGGTGGCCAATGGGGGCTCGGGACGGCGGCGGCCGCGCGCGCCCAATATAAATGGGGCGCTGTGGGCTATGAGGGCGTTCACCTTCCCCAGCGCCTTTGGCGGTGCCTCCGTGCCCAGTCAGCCCTTCCTGATGGCCGATCTGAGCGCGGGCAGTGCCTTACTCGCCTGAAACGGCAATCGCTTCGCATGTGAAGGGGTTTGTCACCGCAGCTCCCTCACAGCGCTGCACCAGTAGCCCGCAGTCGGAGTTTCCAAGTGCTCGCGATAGGGCGCACTGGCCGATGCTGAAGYGCTGAGGGAGAGGAATAAAACTGAATCCTGCCAGTTCTGCTTCTCTGGTGTTATCTCTATGCGGTTTCCCTGTTCAGCGCTCTTTTTGGTTGTGCTGTGTCARTARGAGYATCATAGAATCACAAAATGGTTTGRCTTGGAGRGGGACCTTGAAGAACATTTAACTCCAACTCTGTTTAGGCGATGGCAGCGCTCCTGTATTGTGGTGCTGCTCTGCCCATCTTCTAAGCTTGTATACGGCTTCTACAATCGGTAGATCTGTGCTGCTGCATAGATCTAAACTAAATCCTTCCTTTATAATAAACTAATTTTTAATTAAGGTCTGCTCCTTGTAAGTCTGATGCAATACTTGCTTCTTTGCTAGTGACAGAACAAGGTGAGGGGGAATGTATTTGAACTAAAAGAGAATAGGTTTAGATTAAATATGAGGAGGAAGTTATTTACYGTGAAAGTGGTGAGGMASTGGCACAGGTTGTCCAGAGAAGATGTGGCTGCTCCATCCCTGGAAGTGCCCAAAACTAGGTTGGGTTTTGAGGRACCTGGTCTAGTRGAARGTGTTCCCCCATTGCAGGGGGGTTGGAACCAGGCCATCTTTWAGGCCCAATCCAGTCCAAACCATTCTATGATCCTATGAKTCTTCCTCACRCTTTACTTTTCCTTTTWAAAGGGATCATTTATCATATGTGTGAGRTTTGCAGCAGCTGGGATTTGAAAGTGGAGTCATCAGATATCCTTGATTTATGAGGAATGTAAATGCTATTTGTATTGAGGGAAACTTTGTGCCGCATACAGATGAGGCAAGAGAGGCTGTGTTAGAGCAAATTTCAAGGATCTAAGCTCCTGCTGCAATAATGGAAGAAATGTTTGTAACTTAAAACAGAGCAGGCACAAAGGAGATGATAACTGGTTGTCTTGTTCTGGAACTAGAGTACAAAACATAGCTACTTTTTTGGCAGTTTCTTACAAAAAAGGAAAAAAACCATTATACTAGGACCTAACTGTTGTAGTAACCCACCACACTGTGCCCTACAGGACTGGAACCAGGAGGGCTGAGATTACTCAGTAAAACTTGGTGGATTGGTGCATGCCAATACATGGCTGTACAGGAAATAGACTAAAAAGATACAGAATTGCAAAAGAAAAGACATAAGCATAAGGAGAAGAGGCAATGTAGCAGTTTTATGTGCTTTCTTCCCTGCATTCCACTGCTAAACTGCCTTCTTGATCAGAAGAACAGACTTTTGCTTTCTGACAAGTRCTGGCAACTTGCTGCAAACCTCTGTAGTAGCTGGCACCAAGTTAATACCTGATTAGGCATTAGACACCCAGTTGTTTCACAGTATGCATATTGAATAAATTACACTTGAGAAGTGCACTTCCAAATGTGTTTTCCAGTCTCCTTATTGGATTTTTTGTCCTTCAGCATTTTCATTATGGCAGTGTTCTCCTCAGTAACATCATTTGTAAATAGCTTTATCCTACAGGTCAACAGGTAAAAGAAAATTCAAGACAGTCTATTAAGAGAGTAATTGAGATTATGGATTTTAGAATCCTCTACTTGAAAAATGTGAAAGAGGTCAAATATATGCCTCCTCAATTATACTGTTGGATAAAAGGGATATAATGAACCTACATGTGCTGRGTAAGAATTTTGTTTCAAGGGTGTTTTCTGTCATTGTCTTGCAGAATTATTTCTGTTACCACTTAATTTACATATATATACTGAAAACCATGGATTTTAATGCTGTAATGTTTTCTACTTTTTACCACACACATTTGTATTACAATMTTACAGGCATTAATTCCCTCCCCTTGTGAAGTAGATGATGACCCTTTTACAAAAGGTGAATAGTGGTGCAGCAGTACCAATGCATTTAGCCAGGGATGTATAAAACTGAAGGTACTGGCTCCCTTGAGCTTCAATTACTTAAATTACTTTCTCCTGGGGAAAAAGAATTATACTTGCAGGCGTTATCTACAAAGTCCCAAGATAGTCGGTGGAAAATCTGAATTGCTTTTCAGGAACAGAATGCTTTTCATACATAAAAAATGCCTCACAGAGTGATTCTACATGAACACACAGATTTGAAAGAAATCATTTTAGTYTCATGCGTTTGAAGTTGAAGAGGTTGTATGACTGTGAAGGCTGCGGATGAGTTGGTCTGCAGTGCACAGTCAGGAGATCAAATCATGGTATAAGTCTTGTGCTGTTCCAGAAAATGGCTTTTGGGAGTGGGGTTGTTTGTACTTCCCTATTACAGAGGATGTTTATTCTATCAGCAGATGGACCATTGCAAGAGATTTAAGCACAATAAGCACATTGCCTTGGTGTGCTCCGTGGGGCTGTATAGTGTGAGTATGGGATTAGTGAGGCTGCAGTTGACTTTGTGCGGCCTGAGAGAAAATATTCCCAGTCTCATGGGCAGGTGGAGCAGACCAGCATTATGCAACCTATACCTTTTACTGCCACAYAGGAACACTTGCTCCTTTCTTCATTAGAAATTCTTCACTGTCCACTCATGTCTCTCAGTCTCACAAGGGAAGAATGACCTTGCAGGCTTTTCTGCATCTTTAGCAGGGAAGCCCTGGTTTTATAGGTTTTCTGAGATCTAGTAACTGAACAGTACAAACACCTGACTGCTCACCCTTGCACAGGACTTGGCAACCTGCACAAATTAAGTATTCTCCTTGAAAAACCCTGAAGGAAGAGCTTTTCAAGAAGTGTCATATTCAGAYACTAAATCCCTCTGCCCCGAATCCTCTAGCACATCATTATCCATTACTGCAGTTTTCTGCCTCTAGTCTCCATCTTGCTGATAAYTGAAGTATCAGAATGAAATGAGAATTTATCTCAGTCTGAATTGGCCTTTCTGCATACAGTATTCCTCAATGTCACATCCCACACTGTCATATAGTCTTAAATGTTCCCCTATGGTTCATTTCGGTGTGATGTGTGATTACTTCTCCCATGCTGTTCTCTTTTAGCACCTGGCACCTGATGTCTAATTATTGTGACCACCAGGAACTGACAGGATTTGGTTTTACAAATGTTTGTAATCCTCCAGTTCATACATTCTCAGAATTGCAAAGTGCTTTTGTTAAATAGTTTACATTAAATGCATTTGTGTATAAGCTTTGCAAAAAGACATGGAGTTTCATAAGAAGGAAAAAGGGCTAATCTTTATTTTTGAGGCTCACTGATCTACTATGGTCAGCCTGTGCAAGCACAGTCTGTAATAGTTTCTGCCTGAGACTGATTTGAAGATAAATTTTCTTGACAGATGTGAAGAGTAGCTTTTGTTATTGTACTCTGTGTCATGTAATAGAAAGCTGCAAAGCCACGTTTTTCAATACCAAAGCCACTATATCCAGAGCTGTGCCTGTATATATTCTCAAGGTGCAGATTCTGTCCAAAATAAGATGCTCCAGTTTAAAAAAGAAAAGAAAAAAATAYGACGTTTAAAAGGCTCTGTAGCTGGCAAAAGGATAATTAGGTGAAATTAAAATACAATGTGCATCCTAAAATCATTGTTCTGGAAAGAAATGTCTGTAAATTCAGATGTGTTTTCAGATATATATGGTATTGTTCTATAGACAAAAAAAAAACCCATGCACTCCTATGACATTGATCCAGAAACTCTTATTAGGGAGCTGTGCTCATTCTCTGTCACGAATGCTCCTGGGATTTCATCCAGTGTCCTTAGCCCAGCTTAATGATTCGGATCTCTGGAAAACAACCAGCCTAGGGGTGGTAAGAGCAGCAACAAGTGACTAAGAACTTATTATTCATGCATGGACTGCAGTGCTGCCTAAGGTCATTTTAAAATGGGCTATCAAACTCCCAAACAAATGAACTCTCCCGAAGCTTGAAGCCAACAGAACTGAGCTGGATTCAGATTTTTACAGACAAAAATGAGCCTTGTGCACCTGCTGTGTATCCTCAGAACCAGTCTGCCTRATTGCTCAGTGACGCTAGCATGTGTAGAATTCTACAATGTAAACTTGATGTGTGCACATTAACTTGCTAAAAGTCTTGTAACCTGCATTCATCCTTCTGAAATATATGAACAGAATTTTCTCCAATTCTTAAAATATGCATAGTAACCATGTGCACTAATGGGCCAATTATGCTCAGTCCAGTGAGTTTATGGCTGGTCTTTGCCAGCTTTTCTCAGCTACTGTGCCATATCTTGTTTGGCTAACCTTCCTGTGTTTCTTCTTCTAATATCTACTTTTATTCAATTTCAGAAGCTATACTGAACATTCCTTTCTTTATTGTAGGTAGTTTCAAGCAGAAAGACGGATTTTCTAACATTTTCTTTAAATAATGGATTCTACTCCCGCAAGATCTCTTAAATAGCTTAAAATTTTGCCTTGTAGGAAAAGCCCTCTTTATGTGATGAAAAATGCTTCTTTAGTTTAGTTCTATAGAAGTAGTCAGTATTRTATTTTCAGCATTTAGTGCAGATGAAAGAAGAAAACTAGGTTTTTTTCTAATTTTAAAATGTTTATCTCCAAACTAATTTGACTTGTGTTGTTTGCCTCCTCCACTTGATGGCTTATGTTTATTACATTTTATACAGGAGGCATGGGAGTTTTCATAAGCTTCAGTTTCTCTCAG